CGCTTAACCAACTGAGCCACCCAGGCGCCCTTGATTACTGTAGCTTTATAATAAGTATTAAAGTTGGCTAGGGTCAGTCCTCCAGCTTTGTCCTTCTTCAGTATTGTGTTGGCTATTCTGGGTCCTTTGCCGTTCCATATAACTGTAGAATCCGTTTATTGATACCTACAAAATAACTTGCTTGGGTTTTGTTTGGAATTGCGTTGACTCTATATATCAAACTGGGAAAAACTGTTGAAATATTAAGTCTTCCTGTCCACAAACGTGGAATACCTATTTATTTAATTCTTTGGTTTTATTCATCAGAGTTTTGTAATTTTACTCATACAGATCTTGTACATATTTTGTTAGAATTATACCTAAGTATTTAAATTTTTTGGTGCTACTATAAAGGGTTTTGTGTTTTTAATACCAAATTCCATTGTTCATTGATGGTATATAAGAAAGTGATTGACTTTTATATATGAACCTGTATGCTGCAACCTTGCTGTAAATGTTTATTAGTTCTGGAGTTTTTGTTGATCCTCTTGGATTTTTCTATGTAGGTGATTATGTTATCTGCAAACAGAGATAGTTTTCCGGTTGATCCTTGAACAGGTTTGAATTATGCGGGTCCACTTATATGTGGATTTTTTTCCCCATAAATATAGTGCAGTATTGTAAATATATTTTCTCTTTCTTATCATTTTAATATCTTGTTTTCTCTACCTTTATTGTAAGAATACAGTATATAATACATATAATGTACAAAATACATGTGAATCATCTGTGTTATTGGTAAGGCTTCCAGTCAACAGTAGGCTATTAGTAGTTAAGTTTTGGGGGAGTAAAAAATTATACACAGATTTTCCACTGTGTGATGGGTCAGCTCCCCTAACCCCTGCACTGTTTAAGGGTCAACTGTATTTATTTCTTCCTAATGTCTCTATCTTTTATTTCTTTTTGTCTTACTGCATTAGCTAGAACTTCCAATATGATGTTGAAAAGGAGTGATGAGAGGAGACATCCTTGCTTTGTTCCTGATCTTAGGGGGAAGGCTTCTAGTTTCTCAGCATTAAGTATGATATTAGTTATAGGTTTTTTGTTTTTTTGGTTTTTTTTTAAAGATTTTATTTATTTATTTGACAGAAAGAAACACAGTGAGAGAGGGAACCCAAGCAGGGAGAGTGGGAGAGGGAGAAGCAGGCTTCCCGCGGAGCAGAGAGCCCGATGCGGGGCTCGATCCCAGGGCCCTGGGATCCTGACCCGAGCCGAAGGCAGACGCTTAACGACTGAGCCACCCAGGCGCCCCAGTTATAGGTTTTTTTGTAGATGTTCTTTGTCAAGTTGAGGAAGTTACCCTCTCTTCCTAGTTTACTGAGAGTTTTGACCATGAATGGGTGTTGGATTTTGTCAAACGCTTTTTCTGTGTCTATTGATAGGATCATGTGATTTTTCTTTTTTTTTGCCCCTTGATGTGATGGATTACATTAATTGATTTTCAAATGTCAAACCAGTCTTGCATGCCTTGAATAAATCCCATTTGTTCATGGTGTATAATTCTGTTTATACATTGTTGGATTTAATTTACTAATATTTTGTTGAGGATTTTTTTTATCTCTTTTCATAAGAGATACTGGTCTGTAGTTTTTTTGTAGTGTCTTTGACTGGTTTTGGTATTCAGGTAATGGTGGCCTCATAGAACGAGTTAAGAAGTATTCTCTGCTTCTTTTCTCTGGAAGAGATTATAGAGAATAGGCATAATTTCTTCCCTAGTTTGATGGAATTCACCAGTGAACCCATAGGTCTGGTGCTTTCTGTCTTGGAAGGTTG